TTTTTTGTGTAAAACTCGCCTTATGCCATATTAGACATGTCGAATCCAGCCCCACAAAAACGTAAGCGGGCCTATCGCGATCGCGTTACCTGTTTCGAATGTAAAAAAAAGGCATCGTTGCTGAGTACCAAGACACTCATGCAAGAACCACGCATATAGGCAAGAGAGTTAAATTTACTGTTTCTCGTGCGCCAAATCAATCGCAACTAGGTTTCACCGGCGGCGGTGAAACAATAAATATGCTTAAATACAGTAAAATCGACGCCGAAGACGTTGGCTCAGATCTTCAGAATGACAACAGTACCGATATAGTGGATTCATTAGATACTGCTCCAGATAAGTCAGAAATCGAGTTGATTCAAGTGAATAATGGTGTTCGGCGTGCTCCGGGTACGTCAGAATTTATGGATGTCGGTGTAACAGATGAGTCAGAAATCATGGATAAAGGTAATTCGGATAAGTCAGAGATAATGGCTATGGAAAACATACATAATAGTGCTGACAATGGTGCTTGTGCTGCGGATACAACAGAAATCGTAGACAATGGTGCTAACTCTGAAATCGTGCGTAGTGCTGATCGGCATATGTTCATTTCAGTTGTCATAGATAACAGTGTTCTGGAAAAGTCCCAGAAGTCAGTTATCATGGATAATAGCGCCCCAGATACGTTAGATATCGTAGATGGTATGCACAACTCTTCCTTGGATACAAATGTATATAGTGGTACTTTCCACTATATACATTTCGGTGATATAGACGAGAGCCCTCAACAACCTATCTTGAAGTGCTACGACCCAAAAAAATACGGCAGTGAATCTCTTTTTCTAGAGATTTCAATCCAGCCTGGTACAAACTTTATCCATGGCTGAGCTACAACTGTGAAACAAATACAGCGTGCTGCTACCCATGCCAGAAACTTAAATGCCCACGATTTCACGTTCAAGTTTGACAATTGGAAGAAGATAAAGCGTCTCACTAAACACCACAGGAGTGAGAACCATCAAACGGCCAGGGCGAAATGGATTGATAGCAGAGCATATAAAAAGAAAAATACTTCAATACTTGGCAAACTCCAGGAATCACACAAACAATAGGTGAAGGAAAATCAGGACTACTTGAAAGTTATCACTGAATGTCTCATGTTTACGGCCCAACAGAACATCGCCCAACGGGGCCACGATGAACAACGTGATAGTTTGAGTAATAGCAGTGATGTAAATAGAGGTAATTTGCTGGAGCTAATTCTCTTGCGGTGCAAGGACATAGCTTGACTGAAGGATAAACTTGAAAGCCAGCTTCAGAAGCATGCACAGTGGATATCTCCCGTGATACAAAACGAACTGCTACAAATTATCCCCGACCTCATTCGCGAGCGTATCACAAACGATGTACGAACCAGCGGATGATATGGTATCATCTTGGACGAAACATCAGACATTAGCAGAACAGAATAAGTTTCACTTTGCCTTAGTTTCGCGCTGAATGGAACGAAGAAAGAAGCATTCATTGGTCTCTACTCCACAAAATCAACCGAAGGCGAAGTACTGTATGAACTGGTGAAATCTGCTATCACTGAACTCAATCATGATCTCAAGAACATTGTTGCTAAAGCATTCGATGGGGCGGCTAATGTGAACGGTGTACCCAAGGGACTCTCAACAAGAATGGAAGAGTGCTCCCCGCTCGGTATCTACGTCCACTGTTGCAGACATGTGCTCAACCTCGCCCTTCAGGATACTATGACACAGATTGAACCATTGCGAAACGCTCTGGGAACTATCCAGGCTCTGTACAACTTTTTAGAAGCGAGTCCCAAACGACACACCTTGTTTAATGACACAGAAGTACAAGGTAAGGATCTAAAACTGACGCTGAATTCATTAACTACGATACGATGGTCATGCCGGTGGGAAGCCGCAAAGGCAAATGGAACGGATTGTAAAAGCCTGCTCATACAGTCTTCAGACAAAGATCCAAAAACCTACTCTGAGAGCAGAGCCTTATTCAACGCCATTTGCGACTTGGAGTTTGTCTTTGGACTATGTGTACTGAAAGTAATCCTGTGCAGCACTAATAGTCTGTGCCGATATCTTCAGGGGAAGACGGTCGACGTCATCTCCGCTCGTAGAAATGCCGACTTGACCATTCAGACCCTACGCCAGTGTCGGAGTGAAGAAAGTTTCAAAAGCGTATGGCAGTTAGCATCACCAATGGGTCTGAAAATGAAGAACTGGCTGACCAATTCTCAGTTTGAATTACGAGAAACCAGGGCACCCAGACAAACGCCGCCCCGCCGCCTTCAAGCCCTTGTAGGTGAACACGCGCAAAGACAAACGCAGACACCGGAATCGCACCATCGTATAAACACTTACTATGCGTCCATCGACAAGGTACTGTCCGAACTTGAGCTCAGGTTTAGCGGTAATGACCAAGAAATACTNTGTAAGAAGATTACCTCATCCACAACCGCATGTTTTAGTTCAATGGCAAACAACAACAATCAAAGGAAATGTGTTCCGTCCCGTATGATCACAATGGAAGGAGTGGCGTTTAACACAGCCTGTTCATGTGCACCATAGAATACTTCAAGCTCGAAACTTTTGAACCCTATAATGTGTCAGGAACACAAGCACTAAATTATATCGACCGTTGCAATATTTATCATTTCATCATGTCTGCGTTTCATATTTATATAGATGTATATTAAAGAACCTTTCCATATTAAAAATGAAAAAACTTACTGACCTCTGTCGTTTGTACATAACCATCATAACCTATGGGGGGATCCTTATAACTGCACTACGCATACGTATGCTGTACTGCGCATAAAATCACGTAGACATGCGAATAAGCACGCGCACATTCTTAGAGCATGGCCTCTATAATAATTAAGTAAACCATGTTTGCGCTATAAAAGGACAAGATATAAAAGGACAAGAGCTAAAAAAGTAAACTGTAGAGAAAGACTTGTCTAATTCACACCAGTAGAGTTGACCTCAACATGTCCTTTTTATATTCAAACAAAGGAATACTTTACCTTTATGCAGCTTCAAAATCTGATATATCAGGATATATCCGCTTTCAGTAAAATGAGGGCTAGATTTTTAGCTCATTAGAATATATGTAATTAGGATGAAGAGGTTTTAAGCCTGTCACCAAAATGTCAACATATCAGCTTACAACTTTCAACAAAATTAACACTTTCTTTATAACTATAATATCAAATGAAACATTTTACATGGAAAAGTTAACTATAGCAGAACAAAATTGAATCTTTTACATATAACCACGTGCACACAATTCAGTACTATAGTGAAGTACATCTTTCACTGCGAAAAATAAAAATAACAAAGTGGCAGGATAGAGAAACAGGAAAAATAATTTTAGACCAGCATAGAGAAACAGGAAAAATTATTTGCTATAGTGAAGTACATCTTTGGTTAAAATAAAATCTTCCTTATTCCTTATTCCTTAAACCTCATCGCCCCTTGGTTAAATCTTTCACTGCGAAAAATAAAAATAATAAAGTGGCAGGATAGAGAAACAGGAAAAATACTGATGACGTAAAAATACAATCACCAGAAAAGTGATTAAACTGACACTGAGGTAAATATCTGTTTTTGCATATACTGCGCAAGGCAAATTGATACCTGACTATCAATTATCTTTTCTTATCTTTTAAATACTCAGAAACTTTTAAAATCTCGGGCCTTGTGCAATGCATGCTCGCCAGTAAAAACGTTTTGCACGGGAAGCGTTACGGATGTACTCAGTTTCATCTAAATCAAACATTTCTTTTTTCTCTTTAGAGGGCTTTGGGTATATTAAAAAATAATTTTAGACCAGCACTTAAATGACTGAAGATGGGAAACATGATTTCGAAAGAGGTCCTGTCATGGATACTAAAAGGAGAGAACGGTTGTCAGGTATCACAACTTTTCATCTCGGTATCGTATTGATCTCTGACATTTATCACTCTTGGGAAGTACTTTCTTTGGCAAAGCCGTCAAAGTCTTCCAGAGAGTTTTTTTTTATTTGCCATACCTTCAAAAACTCCCCTCAATGAAGTCTAAAAAACACAACATCAACTTTTTGAAACTTGAGTTAGGGTTTAGCTATCAGTCAAAACGATCTATTTTCCTTTTTAGTTTTTTGTATTCAGCTCATGATATCCCAGAAGATGATATCTCATCTAATTGATACTGTGTTAGACTGTTTCACTGGATATCACTGAAGTACTATTTCCGCATATAAATATGTTTCTGCATTTACCTTACTGAACGAATCTTAATCAAGGATTCCTACTACTTATGAACGTTTCGCCCAAGTGTCACTCCATGCACTTGTGACGTGTTAGATGATGTAATGGTGCACATTCTCGCTGTCTCTTGTCAGTATCAGACAACATTTTTCCCTTGAAAGTAGCTGAAAATGTGTTTTTTAAATAAATTTTTTTAATATTTCGGTCAAAAAGTACCAAACAGGTTTCTGGCTAATAGTAAACTGTTACACTCTACATACTCTCGTGTCTCTTAAAATAGAGCGGTTCTATTTGCTGGTCGTATCAAGTCAGTTTCCAAGCGGAGACGTACGAATTTATCAAAAACGACTATTTGTTAAAACTCCGTTATTGGATCATTAAAGAAATTCTAGTTCATCATCGAAACTGTAGTAACACAACATGAAACTCAGGAAGAAAAGCAGTCGTTACCCAATTATAGATATCTACTTCAGAGCCAAATTAGGAACACTCATTTGTATAAAAGGAGAGAGAAACTTTTTTCGGCAATAAGCTCAACTTCAAAGAAGAAAAGAAACAAAGAAACAAGTTGTGAAGAGTCTTTACCGTAGCCAGCAAGAAGTACCAAGAAATTTAGTTATGGAGGTTTACAAGGTAAATCAATGTACCTTAGTTCTTGTTAAACGTGTGTATAAGAATTCTTTTCATTTCTTAATTTCATTCTCCAGTTAGATATATTTTAAATGGTTTTACCTGGTAACAAGGCACATCTTCTGACCTTTTTCCAGTTAGATAACTTAGAAATACTTTTGGAATATTAAAAAAAGTGTCTTTTTCATTAGATCTTCATTCAGTTATAGTTTTGCCATCAAAACAATTGTAATATACACTGTTGATAATAAGTTGACAAAGGATCTATTTATTCTAGGTTCTCGTCGTTTTCATTGCCGCAATTTTTCTTCACCGTGGAAATTGCAGAGCAACTGGGTTTAACAACATGGTGCGTAGAATTCAAAACGGCGGAGTGTCGTCCACGCAGGGTGCTGCCCCATGGAGACAAAAGAGGTCCCCTGGTGACGAGCCCAGTTGTTACACTGGCAGAGTTGTGTCATTCACTTTGCCGAGCAACAAGACAGTTATTGTTCCCGTATGTAAGAAGATTACCTCATCCACAACCGCATGTTTTAGTTCGATGGCAAACAACAACAATCAGAGGAAATGTGTACCATCTCATATGATCACAGCGGAAGGAATAGCATTTAACACAGCCTGTTCATGTGCACCATAGAATACATTTAAAAGCTCAAAAATTCTGAACTCTACGATGTGTCAGGAACACAAGGACTAAATTTATAGC